AACTTTAATCCTCCAGATTGTGTGGAGATATTAGCTAAATAATCCTGACGATACTGCTATGAGGCATCTAATAATTCTCCTGATTTTTCAATACAAAAGTACACTATAAAAATTAGGTGTTCTGTCACAGAGGGAACAACACCAATTCAATCTTCATGTGTCAGGAATTGCCCAGCAGTTTTTCTGGGCAATTTTATCCCAGATTACAGGATAAATAAATAGTGTTTGATTTCCACAGATAGTTTTTTCATGTCTGCTATTTATGAAGAAGTGTTATGCAAGAGGAAGGAGAAGTACTGGGAATTGACCACTGACTGACAAAAAAGGGTTATCTGAGTGCTGACAGGTAAACAACTTGCTATGTAGATATTAACTACAAAGTAAAAAGCAAAAGGAATAATACTAAAATTATTTTTTTCCAATTACTCAGTTAATAGAGCTAACTCTATTTACAAGGACTCCTAGTTTAAGCCCTTCTCAATTTTATTTTCTCTTGGACTTAGCAGCAGATGGAAAGGGAAAAACACCACCAGGCTATTTTTAATAGAATACTCCAAATTCCTGCATATAACTAGTTGACATTCAAGAATATATTGTAGCTGTGTGAGCATGTGAAGCAAAGATTTGCATATATAGAATCCTGTGATTTTCTGTTCTCCTGAAATTCATGTTTCTTGTTTAATGTTACAATAACATGCTTTGTTGGGTAACTAGATGAGAAACAGTTTGTAGAATAATATCTCTGTGTAACCACCACACTGTCAGTTTTAGAAGAGACTTCCTTCTTTTTTTCTTTTAATAAACAGTTACTATTCTTCTGTACTTTGAAGGATTACAGGGAATATATTAAGAGTGTTTCTGTAACCAAACCACTGGGCCATACACTGATGAGAAGTGCTGGTGTACCTTTTCCACAGAAATTTTTGTCATGTACCTCTATAAAACTCTGTCTTAATTTTTAACATAGGATGATCAAAAGACAAACTTCGTTACTTGTGTGTTTGGACTGTGAATTACTTGAACAGGTGACTTCTCTGTGCTGTCTGCCCAGAACAGAGGTAATTTTTATTTAATAAACCGCTTAAGAGCTCCAGAAAAGATCAAATAAGTAATAATGGATACCTAGCTTTGTTTGGATTCCATATCAACTATGAAAAATAAAATACTATTAATTAATTTCTAGCCTTTCTCATATAAAGTTATGCTAATGTTATTTGTACCTAACCCATCACCTAGTGTCATAGCTTATCCTTTGCCCCACATAGGTATTTGTACACACAGAAACAATGTCTGCAGGATTAGGTTTTTATAGTGAAACAAAACAGCAGCTAAGTTTGATGTGAAGTTTAATTTTCTGCACTCTTAAGAAAAAAAAAAAGAAATCCCTAAATGTATTTTAAAATGTCTTTACTGACTTTCTTTTTACTTACTATTTGCTTATGGGCCATAAAGCTTTTAATTCTTGGTCTCATTCATAAGCAGAACAGTTTCTGTTAATATTTGTAACTAATTTTATTTGGAAATAAATTTGGTCTATTCTGTAATAATTGGTAATTCTATGCAATGATCAGAGAAGCTAACAGCTATTGGAAAAATTTCTTCACTGAAAGGGTTATTAGACATTGGAAGGGGCTGCCCAGGGAAGTGGTTGAGTCACCATTCCTGGAGGTATTGAAAAGACAGGTCGACGAGGTGCTTAGAGACATAGTTTAGTAGTGGACAGGTTATGGTTGGACTTGGATCTTAACGGTCTTTTCCAACCAAATCATTCTACTATACCCACTACTATCCTTCCCTGGCAGGGAGCTCTATGCCAGTTGACAAGATGTTGTATGTCAGCTGAGGAGATGTAACAGAAGCCCAGCTCAGCGAAGCAAGTAAGGCACAGCACAGTTTGAATATGAAAAGGCAGCATACAGAGTGGGGGAGGACAGGCAGGCTGAGAAAGAGGAACTGAAAAACATTGCCTGGGCATGAAGGGATGGCAATTATTGTCAAGGAAGCCAAAGCTCAGAGAGAATTGAGACTTGCAAGACAAGATGTCAAGGGCATAAAGAAGAGCTTCTACTGCTACATAAGTGATAAAAAGCTCACCAAGAGAAATGTGGACTCATTGCTGAATGGGGCAGTGATACAGCAACAGCAGACACAGATCACAGGAGGTCTCCACTGTCGCCTCTGTCATCACCAGCAAGTTCTGCTAGGCCTCTGCGCTTAGTTATGGGGCTTACAGAGGAGAAGGGCTACCAGCTGGTGATGTCTATATTAAAGAATCCAGAAAAAACCCCACTACTTACTGATTACGATAGCAAGTGTGAACAATGAAAACACAATCCAAATTTAAGCAACACAGAAGAGACTTTCTTAGTCCTGAAACATTGGCAAGATCAAAAATTTCCTGTTTTTAAATGAATTTTTAATTCTAGTGCCTACAGTAACTTTCTTACTTTGGAATAAAAAGAAACAGAGATTACAAGTTTTGGAGCCCTAACAATCTAGGTCAGTTACCACTCACACTAAGTAGCCATCCAAATACCAGATGGGCAGAAAAAAGCAGTCAAAAAACTGATGTCCTTTTCCCAGAATGGATGGAGTATTTCTGTTCTTTCTAAAGGCAGCAGTACAAGGCAGGTAGTCAGACCCAACCTCATTTGTTGAGCAAATTCAGCAATGTGAAAGATAACAGTGTCTGCTCTCTGTTTTATGACAGAGAGTAAGACTTATTTGAATAGAAAAAAAATGCCAGTCTGATTTTTTTATATACATGTAACATTCAGTGTGCATATACATACATACAGACTCACACAATTATACTATACTGTATATATGCATAGTTATGCATACACATTGATTATTTAAATATAAGTTTCTTCTTTTCTTTTAATAATATTAGGATTTAGCTGGGCCTTTAAGAACTCCAGACTAACTTTAGAGTTGTTAATCTAAGCTTCCACACTAAAAAAGCTGATGTTTAATTCAGCACTCAAACAAAACAAAAAGAACACATAAAAAACTACCCGTAGTTTCAAAGAACCAGTAAAAGTCCCCTTTATATGTAAAAATTCAATTCCTGGTTTTACTTTTCAGTTCAGTTCCCTCTTTTAGATTCTGTTTATCATTTTCTATACAATAGATTCCCCCAGACTTCGACTGGCTAAGCAGCCTTCGACAAGGGGGCAGATGCACAAAAGGGCATACAGATCCCCAGATGTGACATACTGATGCATTCTGTATTATCACACATGGCAGAGGTTCAGGAAATGCTCACTGCAACAGGCTGCAGAAAGAACAATGTGTGGTGTTAGATAAATGTCTCACACTGAATATGCAGCTGAACATTAGGTCACCAAGCTTTACAAACTGAGGACAAGGCATTGCAGACTTGTGTGATAATTAAACAAAAAGTACTATTCATGTGCAAAAACAACACTTTCCATCTTTCACCACAGGTGGCATCGAACAACAAACTCTGATGTTCAGGATGCCTCTTCTATGTGATGAGTTCACTCTACCCATTCTGCTATCTTATTGTGAAACTCTAAGGATTCCCCTCAGACAAAGCCAATAATTTCTTTCCACAATGCCTGTGAATCTTGTGAAACTCTGAGAGACCCGGATAACTCCCCTTTTTCCTACTTTTGATTTTCTAACCTTTGCTACAGAAAAAAAATCATCCTACAACAATTCTCCTTGTCCATGAGAGGCACTGATTTCATACACCAAGGTCCTCTCAAAGGAAGTCCTCCTGCCTTGAAAATGTTATGTGGACATTAAGTGCTACCTTTCAGCTGAGGAAGAAATGTGGTTCAGAACTAAGACTGCTGCCACTAGACACTCCTCCCCAACTCAAGTTTCAAACCTTCTATTAATTTATCAAGAGGCAGACTTACCAAAGCAGTACTGAGCCTGCAGCTCTACATGAAGTTTATTATATGTAACAACAGAACCACAGGGCTATTTACTGTGTCTCAGAAAAAAAATAAATAATTAAAATATCCAAATTAATGGAAAGCAAGAACAGTAATTTTAAAAAACCCTCTCTGCTGGACTTTTTTCCTCTATTAATCTGTATTTCCACAGATGGATCAGTGTTATCCTGGATGTACAAACAGGGGGACAGCCCTGCAGAAAGGCATCTGGGGTTGTGCTGGCTGGTAAGCTAAACGACTCAGCAATCTGCCCTGGTGACCCAAATGGCCAACCCTATCCTGGGGTGCCCTAAGCACAGGATGCACAGCTGGTTGAAAGAAGTGATTGTCCCACTATCCTCAGCACTGGAGTGGCCTCAGCTTGAGTACTCTGAGCAGTTTCAGGCTCCACAATGTAAGAAGAGTATACAGATATTAGAATGTGTTCAAAGGAGGACAACAAAGATGAAGAAAGGATGAGAGGGCATGACTTGCAAGGAACGGATGAGGATATTACGTTTGCTCAGCTTAGAGCAGAGAAGATTGAGGGGTGACCTTATTGCTGCGTATAACTTCCTCATGGAGGGAGCAGAAAGGGTGGTGCTTATCCCTGGTTTCTGGTTACAGGACGCAAGGTAATGGCTCAAAGGAACCCAAGGAAGTTCAGATTGGATACTAGGAAAAGGTCCTTCAGTGAGACGGTGGTCAACCACTGGAACAAGTTCCCCAGGGAAGTGGCCATGGCCCCAAGCTTGCTGATGTTGAAGAATTATTTGGAGAGCATGTTAGATATACAGTTTAACTTTTAGATTGCCCTGTGTGGAGTCAGAGGTTAGACTTGATGACCCTCATGGATCCCTTCCAACTCAGGATATTTCATTCTATGATTCTATGATCTCAGATCCCAGCAGCTTAACTACAATATAGGCTTCACCAATGCTTTGACATCTATGGTTTTTCCTAACTAAATTGCATGGAAAAGGAATGGAGGTTAAACAACATATGGAGTCACATTCCACTCTCTGTTTTGCTGAGGTAAATCCAGAACAGATGTGAACGCAGAAGTTTAAACAGTTGGTAATTTTTACTCACTCGACAGTCCCGCTGTAGTGTTTTCATTAGTGCACTGTGTGTTTCAGAGTCAAAATACAACCCTTCATGCATGTCTTGCAAGAAATCCAAGTCTTTGAATGTAGGGTTGGACTTCTCCCTCTCTTTTCTTGATGCTCTCCGTTTGTATGTGGAGCCTTTCAAGTCATATGTGAAATGCATTTTCAAGGCTCGTGGCAAAACATTGTTCATTACAACAATTCTAATATTAATGCCTCCTGACTGAACGCAGTACAGCCCATAAAATTTGGGTAGAAGAGTCCTTGGATTCTGGTTCAGATTCTACAACAAAAGAGATATTGTTAAATACATCTATTTTTCAAAAAAACTTATATGATTAAGAAAGTTTATTTTTAATACCAAAGGACATTAATAAACACCAAGAAAACTGTGCATGTTTTCCTACTCAGTATAGTGTCTTTGACCAGTTGATTTTCTTTCTGGCTCTGTATTTCAGAAAGCTAGCATAAACACTGCCTTTTTGCCTGGAACTTATACAGGCCAAGAGCAGAGCAGTAATGACATCTATGTCACATTTCTCTTTTCCACCTCCCATGAAAGAGCAGACCAGGACAAACCTAAAAGCATTCTGAAGATTTATTTCCTCCGACCTGAACAACCTTTGCATTCCACCTGCTGGAGGGAGTTTGGGTCAAAGGTAGTTCTCATTACCTTGACTTCGATTCTGAAAACCAGAATCCCTGTCTCTATGAGTCTTTTCACATTGAGGGTTAGTGCCAAATGACCAGGTTGTCTCCACAGGATCATGAGATCATAACAGAACCACAACTGAACATCAGAACAGAAGAGTGTGCAATAATCCAAATTCCACAACAGGCAAAAGAGGATACGAGAGGTGAGAGTAGAAATCCTCCTTCTGAATACAACGACTCTCAGTTTTTGGCATAACTCAAAACTTATGCTAAGCTGATTATCATGATTAGAAAAAAACAACAGAAAAAGCAGCAGTCACCATTGCTCTTTTTGATGCTGTCAGTGCATACGTTTTTTAAAACAGTGAATCCATGTTACTGTAGTGTAATAAATGACAGTATTCTTCCATTTTTGTACAAGTGAGAAGGTAACTCTTCAAGTGTTTACTTAAGAAAGCGAAGAAAGAAAAGAAAGTCAGTCACAGATCTAATATTCCAAAGTGTTGTGTACTCTGTTCATATATAAGAGTGGCTTTTGCTTAAAAAAAAAAAAAAAAAAAAAGAAAAAAAGGAAGGAGAATTAAGTTCTACTTACTCTGGATCAATAGTTTCCCTTTCTGATGACTGACATACACAAAATCATACAATCTATTTAGCATAAGGCCTTAAAAATTCCATTTAAAATTAAGTTTTGAACTAATTCTATGATTTTTTTTTACATTTTTGTTCTAACACATGAGAAATGGAAATCAGAAGTAGTCCAGAAACAAAAGTGAAACTGACCAGTTTAGTTTCTTTATCCACTCTGAGTGAAATGCAGAGGGCAAACACAAAATGGAGAAAAAAAAGTTGAATTAGAAATTCAGAAACCTTTTTTTTGTTACTAGCTTACTAGAAAGTTTGGTATCAAATCAGAAGATGAAACTCAGCTTCATCTTGAATGCTAGAAGAGCAATTATCTTAAATTTATTCTATCTATTTTTCTGATGGATGTGTGGTATATAAAGTTGAAAGACATAAAAAATGTCAAAAATATTATGAAAAATACGGATAGAGCCAATGAAAGATAAAAAGAGAACAAATGAAACTGAACCTTCAGAAGTGTGATGTGAAACAGGAAAAATAAAGGTAAAATACAGTCTTCAATTACTTACCATATAATAACCTGGCAAGAGCTTCTGAAGAAACTCGGCCTCTTTGTGTTGAACTGTTTTGATGATGAACTCATCGTCACTAGTTACAAAAAATAAGGATCCACTGGCACCTGGGTTGGATAATTCAATTAAAGGCTCACTGCAGATTGAGTACTGGAAGAGACAAAAATTATTTTTCACTGTCAACACATGCATTGCTCAGACAGAAGTTTAATGCAAAGAAGTGCAGGTTTAGATAGGCACAGGAGAATCACGGAGCTCATTCTTTGGGCTTCAACTGCAGCAACTGTACTACAGTACAGCAACCTGGGTCACGGTAATTTGGCCGAAATTTGGCAAGGTGGTTGTTATACTTCATTCTGCCCAGGACACGCTGCACAACCATGGAAGAGCAGTGGGCATCTGAATGCATGGTCCCTCTGCACATCCCACTGCACCAGTCAAATTTTCCCTGGAGGGCAGGGAGTGGCTGAGGTGGAGAGTCCATCCCTACACCACCAGCATTGAAAGCTCTTGAGACAGAAGACTTAAGATGACATTTTCACTGCAACTGTTCACTTTTCATAGGCATTTATAAAACAGGTACAGGAAGATGTTAGACAAACACGCTGGGAGTAGAGGTTTCTCACTATAGACAAAAAGGCAAGCCCTCTTCTGTGAAATTGGCATAGAAACCATTAGAACAATAGTCCTAGTACAGCTGCTAAAGTAGTTTTCTGACTGAAAACTGCTTGAAACTAAAAACTAAATACCAGTAAGCAGGAAAAATAGGGGTTTGGAGGACCATTGTTCTGGATGCTTAGACAGGCTTTCTCTTCACAGAGAGACAGTAATAATTACGATCACATTAAGGAGGAAAAAGACACCAAGGAGTATTACTTACTTGTAGAACCAGATCTCATACAGGGGATAACATACATTTATTAAACATCCATTAATTCACACTTCATGCTTCACTCAAACTAAATGGAGAGGACACATTAAGCTCAAAAAAATAAAGAAATCTGTTTCTATTAAACTCAAGAGCTTGCTTAAAATACAATATAATTAAATTTACATTCACACACTCTGTTATATATAATAAATTTTACACACCTGGAGATTTACTGTACAGTCCAATATTTTAAGGTTTCAGTTTTTGAAAGACACAAAATCGCACAGGATGTAAACGGTAAGTAGCCTAAGCACCAGGGAATTATTCTTAGCTGTGCAATATGACTTCTGGTCTCCTCACAACAAAATGAAAAACTGTTCCAAGTAACAAATATCTGGTTTATTGGGTCATTGCTGGAGATGAGTTGAGCAATTCCACAAGAAAAAACAGTTTTGTTTGTTGAAAACATTCATTAAATGTAACTGGAGTCTTGCCATTGATTTCAGTGGGTAGTGATAGCAAAGAAAAGTGATCCAAGAAAAGCTAATAGATAAGTTATTTTGTGAGCACTTAAACTAAAGAAGCATGCCTCCTATGGCAAATCACTGCCTTAATGCATCTTCTTATCCTGGCTCCAGCTGAGGTTGTTCCTATGCTTGCAATTTTTAAGAGACTTTTGCATAGTATAAAAATGTTTCCTGTTTCTCTCACTCCACATCACTTAGTTCCAATTGATATGAAAGACCTTTCTTATTAATCCTATTGTTGCAACTGTCTACAGATAGGACAGCAATACTGGTTTGTAACACTACAGACCTTCTGAGCATATCAGCAGTTGCATTGCAACCCCTGCATTTTTCTTGCCAAAATACAAAAATCTTCATGAGTAATTGTCATAGTTGTAAGCATTTGAAACCAGTTATCCCAAACATTAAAGCTCAATAAAACAGTATAGCATAAACATGAGTTATTAACCTACACTGCGTGTTGGTCATTTTACAGTTGAGTTCATTCCTGTAAAATAAAAGTCTACCCACCAAGTACATCTTTGAGCTTTGTAATTGCAAATTAACAGTGTAAACTCACATATGCTTGCTGTCATTTCTCCTCTTTTTACTTTACTTCCCCTTCACTCACAGCTGGACAAACTGTTGGCATATTGCTACAGTAAAGTGTTTTAGATACTGGACTGGAATTACAGTCACTACGTGGCAGATCCAGATCTCACAGAAACAAGAGGGACTGTTCAGACAGAACCCTGACACATGCTACTGGGAGCAAACTCTCAAGAGTGAGAAATGGCGCGAGTATTACCCTAACAGAGGTATGCATCAGTTACAACAAAGCACACTGAAATTTCAACTTTCACAAAAATACCTGTTTGTTGAAGGAAATCTGCTTTTGCATTTTCAAGAAAAGAAGGTTGACCTGATCTTGAAACTAGCTTTTCTAGTTGCCTCTTTTCTGTGGAAACATACCACTGGAGTCTTTTGATGTGTCAAGAGGAGAAAGAATCTGCAACAAGTTGCCCTTACTGAGAATTTCCCTCAGCAATTAGTTATTTTGCAGCTAGGCTGACTGTCACAAATCTCTTACCAACAGCAAAAAGTCTTTCTATAATCTTTAATTTATGCTATTGCAAATGCTTCCTTAGATGGAATAGAAGTTTCAAGCAACCATAGTTTTAGTCTAGGAAGTACAGTCTTTTTAGCAGCTGGCAACACAACAGGAACACGTCTCTTCACCCAGGCTCATAAAACGAGATAGCTAAACAACATATTGCATGATGCCACCTTTGTCAAACTCAACCCAAGTGCACTTCCCTGCTGCTAACATCTAGAACTAAAAGGAATGATCTGTTCTTATATAAAATTATTGTCATGAGGGCTAGTAATACAAAATCAATAAATAGTACTAAAGAATTAAAATCAGACATCCATATTCGACCTAAATAATAACAAAACCAGCTAAGTTTTGCTTTTAGGCTCATTGTCCAAGAAAGAAAAAAACCCTTATAATACGCTTGAACACAACAAAAGTCAGTGAAATAATATGTTAAGTAATGTTCCAGTACCATTTAATCAAATTTTTTATTAATTTAAGCTATTTCAAATTATTTTGTTTTTAAAGAAACAATTATCAGTAACAGAACAAAAAGATCTAAAAACTCATTCAAAAGAAGTTAATAACATTCTGATGTACACAACTGCTAATTTTTATTGGGACTCTGATTGGTTGGGTGAACTGGCATGAGACAAACTGGACACGAACCAAACATTCAGAAAATAATCCAGCTCTTTGCTTCACTCTACCCTGCTAAAGCAGAACTACAGGAGAAGTAAACTAGTGGATCCCTGTCTCTGGCACAGCACAAATTGGTTACACCAAGAAAAGCCTGCTTTTATGATGGCAGCAAATGCAACTTCTCACATAAACAGTTCAATACTGAGAAGGAAAAAGGCTTCAAACTATAAAATACAGAGAACAAAGGAGACACTATAAAATGCTTCTTCTTTAGCCTGGCATCCACTTTTCTCAAGGCTAGATGGGAACACTTGCAGGCAAACGCTTCTTTAATGAAGTGAATAAATAACACAAGTAATACAAGAGCACTTTATGAAAACTGAATTGGTAGAGGTCACACAAGTACTGATTATAACTTCTCTAGAAACAATGATCTGAATGAGCAGTAATACTCAAGTTACTCCAGGCAATTAACAAGGCAAGTTTTTACAGGAACCATTGGAAAAATGAAGAATAACATTTTTGTAAACCACTAAAAATATTCATACTTATAAACCACTCCACACACAAAATTTACCACCCATTTGGGCACCATTAAAGCATCCTCTTCTGTCACTATGAAACTATTACACATTATAATCTCCTGCAACTCAGAGGAAAACTGCAAGCTCTTACCAAGTAATCATCAGGCTTGATACCAAAAAGTTCTCTGAAATAGCGGAAGGCAAGAGGTGCATACGTCTTAAATCTGAAGTCAGGGTAATGATGAGCAGGGGTGAGATTGCTCCCTTCACTGAAAACAAAAACAAAAATAAACCAAACCAAATTATTACTAAGCAATTTTTAGCAACTTCCTTCTTGCAGCTAGTTTTTCTGTAAAGCTGCGTAACTCAACTATTTGCCTTCTAAGACAAGAGTCATAAATGCAGATAAACCTTGCTATCATCATTAATCACTGTAATAGAAATGTCTGTCAGAAACAGAATACTGCCAGGAAATTCCTTTCTCCTGCCTTAAAGGAAATTACTGTTTTCACCACACATATCTATTTGCATAAAGACTGGGTTTAAGCTAATGCTACAAGTCCTGATATCCCTCCAAGGTAAGCCAGTCTAATAGCTTACTGACGCAGGAAGGATCACCCCACCTCATGTAAGCTCTTGCAGAAAGTCTGGAAGTCAACACAGCAAAATTACTTCACACCAGCTTGGTGACCTGAATTTTTCGGCAGAGGAGTAAGACAGAAACTGAGGACAGCACAACACAGAGGGCTGAACCATGCAGCCAGAGCAGTGGGAATGAAGCAGGACCACATACAGTTTTTGGTGCCTGCAAACATAAGCTCAGGCTTCTTTATGAAACAGCATCCTCAGAATTAGTCTCTTCTGGAGGCTAACTGCAGTTATGGTACCTCTTTCTTTCTGGCTAGTACTGTCCAGAATTGGGAAGTTTCTCTGGCTTTGCTGACCTTAAAAGTAGGTTTCTGTTTAACTGCCTGTCATGTCATCTATTTTACCCCACCTCAATTTACACCAGCACTAGGTTACACGCTCAGCTGGTAAAATAGGAACACAGGGTACAGACCCTTTGGGGACTTCTTCAAACTAGAAGAGGCGCATACAAAGACTACTAGGTGATCAGCCTGGAAGACAGTCTTTCTTAAAAAGGAAAAAAAAAAATCATTGTACCCCCCTTAGCTCTCTTCCTTATTTTGCATTTACCATCTCATTGCATTTTTAGGCTGCAGCTGTATGAGTCTTGAGAGGAATACTACATGACTTAAGATAAAATAAAGGGTCGGCAGCAAAATGCTGCCACGGGGAAAAAAATACATTAAAACTGCCTGTGGATTAATTTATGATGGAAATTAAAAGAAGGTTTTTTATCCTGACACAGCTGGTGAAGAAGCCCACAAGGGAAGGTGCCCTGCTGGACCTGCTGTTTGCTAATAGAGAAGGTCTTGTGGGGGATGTAATGGTTGGAGGCTGTCTTGGGCATAGTGATCATGAAATGATAGAATTTTCAGTCCTTGGAGAAGCAAGGAGAGGGTCTAGCAGAACTGCCACTTTGGACTTCTGGCGGGCAGACTT